GTGACGATATATATATATATATATATATATATATATATATATATATATATATATTCCTCGTTTGTTGTCCTCTTCTCCCTCTCTGCCTACGGTTTACCGGGCAGTTCTATTTGATGATATATATATATCTGCCTACGGTTTACCGGACAGTTCTGTTTGTGGCAATATATATATATCACTTGGTTGTCTGACGTTATTTTCCAGCACTCACACACAGACATTATCAAACATGGCCACACATGCATAAGAACAGGGAGACGATTTTGTTTTTTAAAACACCTAACCACCCATACAATATAAAACACTCCCACACATGCATAACAAGAGGGGGAGAGGTGACAAAGTCAAAACTGCACACAGACAAGGATAAGCAGCGAAATTCAACCATGCACACATGGGGGAGGTCACACAATGACTCTCACTCTACGACAGACTCCCAACAAACAATCACAATAAAGAACCTCAGCAAAATTACAATTTATATGATGCTGATAATGAGCCAACTCGAACGAACATCATAACACAGTTTGTTACAGTCGGTTCGTCCCCAATCGATTTCCCTCATTATACTAATAGAGTACAATACTCTAACCTACACGTAGACCGGACTGACTAACCGACCAATACCGTTGCAGTTTTGCCCTCTCGGCCTCTACCGGACCCGATTATAGGCTATAGGACCGTCCATCAGCTCTGGCCATTAGGGCCTGTCTGTCCTGGGGGTAGTCCGGGCCTGCTATTCGCAGTACGTGTACGTATAGGAAATTCGAAATAATGTTGGGCCTATATTTCCCATATTTACAGATGTGACCCTCACAAAGTTTCCTCACAGGTTGGTCTCACGGTTATGCCCGAGTCAAACGAAATTACAAATCTAACCCTACGGGGTAGTATACAGCCTCGCCATCAGTCTTCACAGTCAGACTGAAAATATATATATATATATATATGTACATATATATACAATCAACACGTCAAACTAAAAAACCAACAAACATAAAAGTCGCATGTACAGGATACTACGACTTAACATAATGTCAGTCGTCGAACAACTCGACATCATCTGCGACCGATAGAGAATCGCATGATCGATTGGACACGGCATCCGCCGGTCCAGGCGACCCATCCCCGTCGCCAATGATGAAAACATCGTCATCCCCCACAACGTCGGGATCCGCACCTGAAGCAACGTCGTCCTCGTCACGGCCAATGGTATCCTCGCCTCTGCAAAAAAGATCGCGAGGCAGAGGAGGTGTCGAGGACCCGACCTCGCCCGACACATCACAGTCGTCGTACTCGAGAAGGCGTCAAGCCCAATCTGAAACTCATTTTGAACTGAAGATGAACGTGGACAGCCGATCCATCCACGAATCGGTAGGTGGCCAATTGTGACGGTACTGACTCGGCCTTGGACGAATCGAAGTCCCAGAAGGCCTGCGGATACGATACTCCAAGGGATCCTGTCATGCATGACTGTTCCATCGAATGACTACAATCGCCAAACGCGGCTCATACGACTTCTCGAAGTGCAAAACCTTCTTCGCGTAAATGATGATTGTGCCCTGGAAGGTCTCAATCGTCGACGTGTGACGGAACTCCGTGTAGTACGAACAAACGGTCGTGCTGCAATGCCTGCCCAACGTCTGGCGAATGATGTCATACACGGGATCGTCGTGCGTGTACAGAGGCAGCCGAGATGGGTCACCCGCCTTTGAGGATAGAAGCTCTCTGTCCGCAACGCACCTGGAGTGGTCCCCGGCCCAATGGTCGGCGATCATCATGACATCATTGTGCAGAGTGACAAAGTCGCCGCCCTCATCTCTGCAAAGCTGGGAAGCACGAAGAAACCAATGCCCCACCTCATGCATATGGACCTCAGTCACACCATCTGCATCCACGACCAAGGATTTGTTGTTTTTCATCGTGCTGTACGGGTACATTTTGCTCATCACAAGAGCAACGAAGTCGCTCTTCTTCAATCGTTCTTCTTTTGCCGTCAAAGACCCTGGTCCAAAACGGTCCGTCAAGGCATCCAACAGCTCCTTCTTCGTGAACTGCATAAACTGAGATTCCGACACGCACTGATGAGGGTTGTTCAATTTCTTTGGCACCTTCAGTGTCACGACTTTTCTAAGTGTCTTGCGAATGTTTTTTACCTTATGATGGCAATCCTTCTGCCATTCAATACCCAGGCGCTCCAACTGTGGACCCAATGCAGCACAATCGTCGGAGACAACACACCGGATTTTCAACCCCCTCGACAACAAGCCTCTCAACAAGCGCACAACAGCAGGAACCTCAAGTTGGTTCAACGCCTTTCCCTCATTTTTTGGCCGAAGAGTGTGAACACCCACCACAAGACGAGTATCACACTCAATCGCGGTAACAGTGCAATGCTGCGCAGACCTGGCTGAGTCATAGCGACCGTCAACCATCAAAGTGACGGGTCTCCCTGATCGCATAACCGTGTCAATGGCCAAGTCGCAATACCTCACGCTCTGCCTGACAACCTTTGCATTCCAACCCTCACGCACATTCGGCTCACCGTGCATGCAACTGTAAAAAGTAGGCTTGTGCACTAGTGCCACCCCAAACGCGATGCAGAAGTCGTTGAGGACGGTATATGTCATACCCGCAGTGACGGTCGCATGGAACAACTGCTGCTGAAGTCTGCAAGAGTACACATCTCCCCCAACCAGTGCACTGTGCCATGTTCAACGACATGACTTCTTACAAGCGAGCGAAATGCGACAAATTTGCCCAGGATAACTGGCAGAGGACACATCCACAACACAACCGCCCCCGTGGCGCGGGCAACTCAAATCGAACAACCCGAGCAACTGCAGCAGCTTCACCGGTTCCACGAAGACGACATCAGGCGCTTCCGAGCCTCCCCAGTGCCCCATCGATTTCAACACACGTTTAGACCGATTATTGCAAGGTCCGCTTTGCAAAGCACCATCCTTCGAATCGTCCCAGCACAAAGGACGTACATGTTCGAAACGCGAACGCGACCTGCCACGGCTTGGTGGCCGCCCGCGCGATCTGCGGCCGCGCTGTGACCCGTGCCCTGAATGCGGTAGTGAATCATCCGACCCACAAAACGACCCGCCATTGCCTCCACCGCTCCCTTCACCCTCACGCTTGCCATCATCCTCAGCGCCCGCTTTCGAATCATCCCCTCCTGCTCCGAGACGAAACACATCTGCACGACTGCCGACCGGTAGTGTTCTCTCGATCCTCGACGCCACACCGTCCCCGAGCTCTGACCGGATGGCTGGCAATGACCAATGCAACAGTCGGTCGACGACATCGCTCATGACCCCAGACTTGTCGCTTACTTCTTTCATCGCAGATTGTAAGAGGCGCAATCTCTCCTTGCAAGCGGTAGTCAGGAACAAACGAGAGTACTTCACGGAACCAGTTGACTGCGAACCGAATTGCCCCAAAGACCCGCCCGAGTTTTCAGAATGACCCGCACCAAGATTTTGAGCGCCAGGATCGCAAGGGCAGGGCCCATCTCCGGTAGCACACACAATGTCATCCTCGTCGAACCGGGAGACGAGAGAGCGACGGGCGGAATTACAGTTATGTGTGTCCCCGGCAGAGGCACGACGTGCATCATCCAATACACCCCCCTGCCCATGACCTGATGCGGCGAACGAATGTGAGACCCGCGGTTCTACACTCCCACGTCCTCCGTCACGCAGTGTGGACCCTCCACTTCCAACTGCTCCTGATGATTGAGAACACCCCTCTAGGGGGATGGAGTCCAACCCGTCGCGTCCAACGAAAAGCGGAGGAGGAGGAAATGGTTGCGCAGCACATAACAGAAACTGCAAACGGCGAGGTTGCAATGGCGGCGACAGCAAAGGAAAACACAATGCATCAAAATCCGACAAAGGGTGCTTCGGAGTGTATGGACGACGCACTGTAGACGGCAACAAGAGCGGCAACGGAGAATGCACAACTGCAACACCGGGAGTGACGACGACCATAGGCGAAAGAGAGTGAACACGAGGCCTCTTTGTTGATCGCATGTCATCCGGGCTGCCATAAGGGGAAACTCCCAGCAAACCGTGCTGTCCGGCATGCGGTGACACCGGCGTGGCGTTGCCACGCGCGGGCTAAGTGGGTGGTCGTTCTGCTGGCCTGCCGTCATCAGGCGTGCAACTGGCTGGTGCGTCATCCATGACAGATGGCCGACCCTCTCCCGCGCCGTGCGTGTGGTGCGTGGTGGACGGTGCAATGCCGAAAACACAATCTCGAAAAGGATGAACTGCCAAATCGCAAACAAACAATGTCCGGTCCTGTAAACAGCAAACAGTCATCGGATAACAGACTCAGTGACTTGCATTGTCACCGATGCACTGGAAAAGAGACTGATATAGAGACAGACTCACGAACTTCTTGACAGATTGACCTTTCGGCCAGACCGCCTGACACACATCCAATGCAGCGACTGAGTGACGAACTTGATGACATGTCAGAAACCCCGCACGACAAACCGGAGTCATCGGATTGATCGAATGATCGATTGAATGATTGACTTTTTGATATGTATACATATATATATATATATCGTCTACATATATATAGATAGAGAGAGGGAGGGAATGAGAGAGAGAGAGAGAGAGAGAGAGAGAGAGAGAGAGAGAGAGAGAGAGAGGAGAGAGAGATCAGTTCAATCAATCAATCAATCAATCAATCAATCAACCAACCAATGAATCAATCAATGTATTGATTGGAATGACTGATTGATTGAATGATTGAATGATTGATTGATTAATTGATTGATTGATTGATTGATTGATTGATTGATTGATTGATTGACTGAATGAGTAATTGATTGATTGATTGAATGATGAAATGTTTGTTGTTTTTCGTATTGCACAGAGAGAGAGAGAGAGAGAGAGAGAGAGAGAGAGAGAGAGAGAGAGAGAGAGAGAGAGAG